CTTCTTATTTATTAGTGGATGTAGTTTTCAATATTCATTAATTTTTTATAAGGAGATTTTGTATTTATATTGATTCAGTTTGAACAGAAAAGGGCGATTAATCAAGTTCGTTAACGAGTTTTCTAACCAGCCTTATGAGGAGTTTTAGGAATTCTAAATAGTTGTTCGAATAACGAGTTACATTTACGTATCATTAGTGTTAATATTGGCATGTTGGGAACAATGAAAAAAATAACTGATTAATCTTTCTACGATAGGTATTTGAAAAAATGTATTAAAAAATATTGAGCAAGAATTTTATTGGTATATTACTAGAACCAATTTGTGGTGACGTACGATTATTTTGAAATAATGATATGTTATTTAGAAAAACTTCAACATGTATACATTAGGCATATAGATAGATGAGTTTTATTATATGGATTAATGTGCTCAAATTGGATTAGAGCTTTGGGTGCCAATAACATAAATTTAAGGTGTGACACTATGTAAGGTAATTAGGTATATAAATATTTATAATTGTGATAATTAAGCTTTCACAATCATATACCTAAGTAAAATTCTTTATATTTTAAAATAGACTCGAATTTTTTTTGATAAGTAGGGGTTAAATTGAGTCTAATCAAATCTATTTCGATGGCTCTAGCATATTACTTTGTCGATGTAGCTGCTTCTAGCTAAGGAAAATTTACGAAATTTCTGTACTTTTTTTATTTTTAATTTGTTTATCAATTTACTTTTTATTTTTATTATATATTTAAGTTACATAAAAAATGTCATAAATCACAATAATAATCAACAATTTAAAATATTTAAAGACATATAAATAATATGATTGACTCTCAAGTTATATCGGTATCATATAAATTGGGACAGAAAAAATAACATAGATTATTTCAAAATAACGCTAAAAGTACCATAAGTCACTACAATGAACAACTTAAGATATTTAAAAGACATATAAAAATAATAAGTGTCTCTCGAAAATCAATCAAATGTCACATAAATTGAAAAAAAAAACACATATTATTTGAAAATTACGTAAAAAACTATATTCTATAAATCACAAACAAAAGAAATACGATTGACTCTCGAAATTCTATTAGCACCACATAAATTGAAACAAACAAACAACATATTTTTTGAAAACTATGTAAAGAGTCCTATAAAATCACAATAATTAATAATTTAAAATATTTAAAAAAATTATATAAATATTTAGATAACTTACAAAATTTTATTCGTGTCACATAAATTAAAATAAACAAAGTAATAAGTACTCTCTTTGTCCCAATTTATGCGACACATTTCATTTTTCAAGAGTCAAATAGTTTAAGTTTGACCAGAATTTGCGCAAGAAATCTCTTTTTTTTTTAATGAAAATTATAGGGAAAAATGTCTGAAATATATCCGAACTTTGACTGCAATTGTTGTAACGATACCAAACTTTGGAAAGAACCTTTTACCCCCTGCACTATTTAATAGTGTATTTTAAAGGTATATATGTGTCCACGTGGACATTATAAATAATAACATGTCCACGTGGGCAGATATATACTTTTAAAATACACTATTAAATAGTGCAGGGGGTAAAAGGTCCTCCATAAAGTTTGGTATCGTAACAACAATTTCGGCCAAAGTTGAAGTATTTTTCAGATCCTTTTCCAAAATTATATAAAAATTTTATGATCAAATATAGACTTGCTTAAATCTTGAAATTCAAAATGTATCATATAAATTAGAACGAAAAAATACTAACATATATTGAGCTCGTAATAACATGTTAGGTTGTATCTAATATATACATATATTTTAATTTTCCAACCGGTATCCGGTATGCGGTACCCGCATCGGACCCTCAAAAAGGTTAAAAGGGAAAAAACAAAGTGAGAATAGGGTTTTGTGAAGAACCCCACAGCGAAAAAATTCAAGCAGTTCATTCGCAGTACGGAACCCAGGTATATATATATATCTCTTCGTGCTCAACCGAAGTTCGATTTTAGTTCAATTTCAGCTCAATTGATTTCTAGGGTTTTAATTTTTCTGTTAAAAAATGGTATTTTTTGTTCAATTTCAGAAAAATGTCAGGAAAGGACCATGATTATCGTATATTTGTTGGAGGTTTAGCTTGGGATGTCACAGACCGTCAACTCGAAGGAGCTTTTGGCCGTTACGGTAAAATCATCGATTGTCAGGTTCGTAGTTTTCGTAAGATTCAGTTTTCGTTGTAATTTATGCGGAAAAAAATGCAATTTTTAAGGATTTTTAGTGTATGTATGTGTGTGTGCTGTGTGTTCTTATACTGATTTAGATCATTTGATGATGTTTTTGGAGAATGATTTTTATGTCTACACATTTTTTTCAAATTATTTTAGTACTGTTTCCTGCATTTTAAAAAAAAAAATCATTTCTGTCGGAAACGGCCTTTCTACCTTTATAAGTTGGGGTAAGTTTGTGTACACACGTCCTTCCCTAGGCACAACGTTGTTTAATTTCATTGGTTATGTTGATGTTGAACATTTTTATGCATTTTGAGCAAGTTTGGGAAAATAAATTACCTTTGGGTTTTTCTATGAAGCTTATGACCTTTTGGTCCAAGTATGCAGGGGTTATTTTTCCTTAAAAAGAACTTCAAACATAATTTTTCCGGAAAAGAACTCCTTTTTCGTAAAGCTTGGACCGAATGATGTTAAGATAATAAAATCTTACTAGTTTATCTAAAAGAAAATAATTTGTATGCAATATTTTAGGAGTCCTGAACAGGTATTTGTGGAATGATTGCAAACTTTGTTTGTCTGAACTCTGATGTATACATGAACTTAAGCACTGGAAATAGTTTTGTGTTTTTCTCTCTTCATATGCTTTGTGGTGCTATGCTTTATGGGGGAGTTTGTTGGGTTAATCTTCAACTTTGCAAATCAATTGTATTGCTTCAAGTTGATGTTTAGCTCATGTCTATTTCCAACTTTTCATTTCATTTTAATCATTTATTAATTAGTTTTTTCCTTTAATATTTCTGGATCTGGTTATGCCAGTTAATGGATTTGAGGTGCCTTAGATGGAATTGTATGAGGAAGGATTTTTGTTCATTGGAATGTGAAGTTGCTGGACATAAATACTTGATTCCTTCAGCAGCTTGATTTTGAGGTTTCACTTGCTAGACTATCTGAAAAAGCTTAGATCAGCTGCATGTTAACAATGTGAAGCACTATCGGTTTCTATTGCAGCAGCGATTTGCTCAGAAATGCATCTCTATGTTGATTGCAGCTGATTCACAATTCTGCTCTGGTTCGACCATTAGCTAATAGTATGGTGTAGTAATTTCAAGGGGCATTTGTGTTTGGACTTTGGACTTAATGGAAAATGATTGGAATATGTGGACTGAGTGCATCATAGGTGGTCTGTTTGGTGGAATCGCCATTAATTTTAAGACTTTTTCCTCAATCAAAGTTAAACATAAAGGCATAGCAGTCAAGTGGCAGTAACTATCCCGTAAATATGTTTAATTTTGTGACACATGTCAAATGGGGGAATAGAGGAGGTAAGTTAGCTCTTGATGTAAGGTGCTTAAATTATAAGAGGTAAGTTAGCTCTTGACACATATCAGTTGCAAGCAATGGTGGAATTCCTGCTAATAAGAGGTTCAACTAAGAGATGAATTTTGAATACGCAATTTAGCTCAGAGTCTAGTTTCCATAATTCTTCAAGTTAAATTGGTTGACAGTTTCTGTGAATGGTGCATGTTGTTCTTTAAAGCTAGCAGGACCAATCTGATTGAAGGTTATTGACATTTCTCTTACTAGAATTTGGGTGTTATTGTTATGTGGAGTGTACACCAGATATATGAGTCCCTAAGTGCCTTTGCATGGTTGCATCACTATTTTTTTTAGTCAATCTGCCAAGTGCCAACTACGGTTTGCTACATTGTTTCTAATTCGTGATCTGTAAGGTGTATGTGTAACAGTGAGAGAAGTTCTTTTGAATGGTCAGTGGCACACATGAGGTAAGAGCTTGGGTACTGGAACTTATGAGAGAAACATAACAACTTTCTTGCGTTTCCTGTAAAATTACGGGGATGTTAAACTTTTACTTTACCATTTATAACTATGATGGATTGGTATGAGACGACATCTGGCGGTACCTGTTCTTTGCTCTAAAGAAGTTTCAGGGAAAGAGGTTGAGAGCTATGTGGTACTTAGCTGATCTCCTGCCTTCACGCGGGCCACTTTCAAGATTGAACTTGATTCTCTGACCTTTTGAAGACCTTTAGAAGCTGGTGTACACAGAATCTTGATGCACTTCTCTCTCATTCTCCCTCTTGGTCACTCATTCCGTTTCAATTGGTGGTTTGCCACTGTCAAGATTGAATGTGATTCTTGATTTCTTAACCTTCTTGAAGACTTTAGAAGCTGTGCTGTTGCGTGCAGAGTCTGGATGCACTTTTGTTTCATTCTCCATTTAGATAGATCATTCTGTTGTTTTACTTGGTTGTTGAATGATCGTTTCGCTCTTGTGAGATGTTCTTCTCTTGAGCAATTGCATTGTCTTCCATATCGTGGACCACCAGATAATGAGATGCCTCTGTAGACTCAGGAGTTGCGTTGCTCAGCCAAGTTAGCAGCTTCAGAGTGTTAAGTTTCATGGATTATTGCTATAGATTAGTTTATTGAGATTTTGCCCTGTTACCTCTGAATTGCATTTCAAAGGCTCAAAGTCGATTAGTTCTTTTGAGTTAACTTTATCTGCTTTGATGCCTTGCTAGCAGATGGCGTAAGTGGTAAGTTGAAAAGTTTCTAGTTGGGGTTTCCGTTAATCAGGATTAGTTGAAGCTTGTGTTGGAAAAGATAGCTGAATGAAGATCAGTATTTTGAACAGTTACTGAACAAAAAACCAAATGATGTTCATGAGAAGTTTTACCAGGAAACTATCGCAGTATGCTTTGTCAGTATGGTCAACTCTTCGAGTGGTAAGCTGTGTTTGTATGGTTAACCACATGTTCTTAGACATACGTCTGCGATACTTTTGCTCGTTACTCGTTAGTCTGGTTGAAGTATATGAAAGAAGTTTATGGATCCAACATAAGTTCCAATTGGCATAGTTAAGATTTATCCAAGAGGTTAGGAAGCCTTCTTGTTTGGTTTTGTTGTTTTAGCTGTTAATGGTATTGATTACACTGGATACATGTGGTCTGAGTCAAATAATCTGCAGACCTGCAGATTTCTGCTGCCCAAGTAAGACTTCCTCCGTCAAAGTAACTTTATATTCCTAGATCTTGTTTAAAAATATGATTTAACTTCTCTCCTTTTCATACTAATGAAGTGATTAAGAAACTTACAGCAGTCCAGGTTTACTACTTTTCATTTACTTACCTATGCTTTGCGCAGTTGCATGCATAGTTGTATAGTTGGGATTAACTGGGGAATTGAAGTATATATTGAGTAAAGTAAAATATTCGAAGTTGAATGCCGAGTTCACAAGAAACCAAGAACTGGAAGTGTTGTCTAATGACGTCACTCTAGCCACTAAGTGGGCAGAATGATGCATTAATAAGATGTGTGGTGTTCCTTATATATATACACGATAAATATATCATCTAGAGGAAGATTTCATGTGATAATTTCAACACTACATCACAATATGATGACATTCTTTTTTGGTTAAAAATATAAAAAACGACATAATTTGATGATGCCATGTGAATCGCTAGAATGTCATGATATTGTGATAATGTATTGATATGAAACTACCTCTAGATGATATATTTATGTAGCAATGATGATAGTTTGTTACTTTGAAGTTCTAGCCTACCTTGTCATGCATGACCAAAACCAACCACTTTCTCCATTCGCACTTCACTGCATTAAATGTAGATCATCAAGTTGAAAGTGAAGGGTTTTAAGAGAGTGCCCTTGAAATGGTCTTAAGCATTAAGGAAAGGAATGTACCTTCCATTTTGTTTTCAGAATCGACTTTTGATACTGTTTTGAGGAGCTCCAGATTGAACCTTTCTATGACTTTTGGAGTTTTATGTGTATTTTTGCGTGTTTTGGACTTAATTTTGAGTTGAATTATTGGCTACTCAATTTAAACTATTGCTCTAGCAAGGGTTAGATCATGTCAAAGAATGCTACTTTGATTTGCTATTATTTTGCTAATTGAGAAATCATCAATAATTCTGGTCATGTAGTTTTCACTGTTTAATTCTTCAGAATTTGCATGTGAAAGAGTAAAGGTAAATGCAACTCCTCCTTTATTGTGTGTTATATCTGAAGGTCTTGTCCTCGTTATCAATTTGATTTTGTTCCTGATATATTATTACAGGCTTCTAAGAGAGTAAATCTTTAGCTTGATGTGTTTGTCTTGTGCTAGTTTCTAAACTGTTAGCACTGTAGGTTATGCTGGAAAGGGATACAGGCCGTCCTCGTGGATTTGGGTTTTTAACGTTTGCAGACCGTCGCTCCATGGAAGATGCAATCAGAGAAATGCATGGTAGGGAGATTGGTGATAAGGTGATCTCTGTGAACAAGGCCCAACCAAAGATGGGTGGTGAGGATTCTGACCATGGCTATGGCGGTGGCTACGGAGGCGGTGGCAGGGGTAGCTACAGAGGCAGTGACAGGGGTAGCTATGGTGGCGGTGACAGGGGTAGCTATGGTGGCGGTGACAGGGGTAGCTATGGTGGCAGTGACAGGGGTAGCTATGGTGGTGGTGGCCGTGGAAGCTACGGTGGTGGTGATAGGTCAGCAGGGCAAGACAATTGCTTCAAGTGTGGCCGCCCAGGCCATTGGGCTAGAGACTGCCAACAAGAAGGTGGTGGCCGTGGTTCACATGCATTATCCCCCCCTCCTCGATCAAGGTTTGGTGGAGGTAGTGCACGTGAGGATCGTTATGGCAGTGACCGTCGGTATACGGATGATCAATACGACAGAGGCCATTATGCTGACAAGGAGCGCTATGATAGCAAAGATGATAGATATGGAAGCCGTGATCGATTTGCCAATGACAGGTGTGATATTTTCCCTATTCTTGCTTGGTGTTACAGATCTAATTTTTTTCCCCTATCTTACCAAAAATGACTTCTTATGATATTTAGGCACCCTGCGGGCGGTGATCGTTTTGCGGACAACAAGTATGGGGTTTCTGACCGATATGGTCAGAACGGTTCAGGCAAAGAGAGGGGTTTCGACAGGGATGTAGGTCCACGAGATGGTGACAGGTACTCCAGTGGAGGACCAGCACGTTACGAGGGGAAAAGCGTCAGAGACAGAGCAGGACCATATGATCGTCCTCGTAGGGGAGGACGTCCACCTGCCGCTGCCTTTGACCGTTATTGAAGTGCTAAATCTGTGATGTGTTAGACTATCCATGTTTGAATTTTAGCCGTCCTTTTTAGTATCTTGCACTTTTGGTTAAGTAATCTCTTAAGATGTAAAGATGTTGAATTGTATAAACTGTTGTAGGGGAAAACTATATCTTGGTTTTATATTGCTAGAAAAACCTTCTGCATTTTAGTTTTTACTGTTAACAAAAATAGCTCTTTCATTGTCTATCGAAAACAGCCTCTCTATATCACAAAAGTAGGGGTAAGGTCTGTGTATGTTTTATCGTCTCAGATGGTCACTCAACTATGCATTCTTCTCTCAGAAAGTCACTCAACTTTCAATTTTAACTCGGAACTCACTTGACTATTTAGTGACTTTCTGAGAAAAGAGTAGATAGTTGAGTGACTTTTGAGTTAAAATTCAAAGTTGAGTAACTTTTTTAGAGAAAAATGTAGAGTTGAGTGATTTTTGAGTTAAAATTGAAAGTTGTGTGACTTTCTGAGGAAAGAGTGCATAGTTGAGTGACTATTTGATATATTAACTCTCCACTTGTGGGATTACATTGGTATGCCTTTTTTCTTGTTCGTCTGATGGAAAATTACTATCACATTCGGTTTAGAGAGCACTCTTTCCGTTGAATGCAAAATATTGGATAGCTATGAGATAGTTGAGAGACTTCAATAACTACTCCACGAGATAGGGATAAGTTGATAAGATCTCCATACACTTTATCCTCCGCAAATTTCATTCGTAGAATTTTACTAGATATATAATTGTTGTAAACTTCAACCAAATAATGTTCAAATGCATACTAGTGTTCAGGAACATATAGATACTATATTATCACTATTTAATCTTGGGTAAATTGATTAGAAACTACTAAATATTAGTGTATTTAGTAGTCACTTCTAGACATTTTGCTTAGTCTATTAAATACTTGTATTTCTTATTGAATAAAATTTGATTAGATAAAAATTAGGTGTTACGTGCAGTAAAAGATTACGTGAAAGAAAAAATAAATATTAGAAGACTTTTAATACTTAACATTTGACTGATACATCAAGATTGGAGTTGTAATTTGACCTAAGTACCACTTACATAAAGAGTTCCAAATTTTTTTTAAGAGCCTTTGATCATGTTTAACCAGAGGTCTTTGATTTTTTTTAAAATATTTATCTCTTGGGTAAAATTTTCAGCATAAATTTAAATTAATTGGACTTCAAAATAGGTAATAACACCGAGTGAGATGAGGAACAAAAAAATGTTTAATATAAAAAAATAGAAGTATGATGCACATGGATGCCTAGTAAACTATGTATTAAAGTGTGAACTAGTCACTCTCAAAGTCTGAACAAGTTGACAAGTCTATATATATATATATATATATATAGTGATAGATAAATAGAGGGAGAGAGGCGGAGCAAAAAAAAGATAATTATTTGGTTCTTGATTAATTATTTATATTTATTACATGATTTTTTTTAACAAACATCATAATTACTGAATTATGTAAATTTTGTAATCGAAACGTGGATTTTTTAACAAACATCAAAATTACTGGATCATGCAGATTTCGTAATCGAAATGCTAGCTCCATCACTGATTGTTGATGCAAGTAGGCAATATATTCCTAACATATATATTTGCTTTTGATCTATATAAAAGCTTATAAGTTCTTAGTTCCTACCACTTTTGAAATGTCAAATTCAAAAAGGATACAACTAGTACCACATTATTATTCTTGGAGCACATCATTTTCTCTTTCAAAAATGGAAAATATATGAATAAAAAGCTAGGAATATTTTCTAAAATTGCTGCAAAAGTAGTGTGTATATATCAAATTCAAAAAGGATATCACTAGTACCACTTTATTTTCTACAATATTTTCAGCTTGTTGACATATTTGCACTTCCAATTGTATATATGTTTTGACTCAATTTATTGTTTACTTTCTTTCTTTGTCTTTATATCCCCCCCCGCCCCCCACCCCACCCCCACCAAATCATATTTGTTCCTTTTTTTTGCTTCTACATTGGATAATGAGACATTGCCACTCTTTTTTTGTATTTATCCTTATATTCCTTGTATTTATCCTAGTGTCCTTTATATGTTAGTGTGGTGGGTGATTCCATCGCCATTGTGTAGCCTTTCAAGATAGATCGCGATTTTTTGTTATATTTTTATTGGCATGGACTGAACATGATCCCTAGCTAGTTGTGAACGTATATGCGTTGACTTCAAAAAACCTTAGTAGGATGGTTCACATGAAATGCAGTGTGCTCGATTTTTCCGGATGGGGTGGTAATTAGGGTCATATAGCTCTATTTTTAAATGTTATGCAAATATATATTTTTAAAATATACTCATTCGGACTACGTTAAACTCAAGTCTAAAGTTTGTTCATATATTACTCAATTTTACAGATAAAATATTAGACTTAACATTTAAGCTTTGCTATAACGTAACTTGCAAAAATTTAGAGTGAAGTCTAACGTTTTTTCAAGTGTAAAATTTCCAATCGGCTCAAAAGAGATGTAAAATTTAAAAGGTTCATGATTTTTTTTAAAAATCATTTACTAAATAAATTATTCTTTTTAATTATCTTATTTGTTATTTTTATTTTTATTGATATGATGATGCTATAATAACATCATCTTTTTGTATGTTCTTTCACTTCCTTGGACTACTATATATATAATTGCGTAACTACTAGGGCATTGACTAATGTAGAAGAAAAATTATACATACATTATAGTATTTTTGTTTTTTTTAGAGATTCTAAGTAATTGCTCAAATAAACTAATTCAATAAAATATTTAAAAATTTGGATTCCTTGCTACTAACTAATAGTCTACAACATATAGGTCATATAGTGGAATTTAAAATATGTGGCTGCTAATTTTAATTAAACATAACGAAACTACTACTCAAGGTTTGAACAGATGTAACCTAATCCTTAACTTGATTAATTATAGTAATTACTGATCAATTAAGGGTGGAGGAAGCGGTATGAGCAGTGGTGTACGCATGATTTTTCATAAGCGGGGTGTCAGTATTGAGTTGGGCAGGTTCTATATTATATTGGGCCAAACTGCCAAAATAGGGCTATGTATCGATTCGGTTCGAATTGATTTTAAAGTTTATCGATTCGATTTATTGGTTATCGATGTGAAGGTGAAGTCACATTTGTTTGATGGTGGAGGATAATATCAACGTGGTTATGAAACTTATTTTCCATACTTTTGTTAGAAAAGTCAATCTCCTTAATTTTAAAGAACTTATTTAGAAAAAATATTTTATAAAAATATTCTGATAAATCAAATATTGAAAAATTGAAAAATATTTTCCTCGCCAAACACACCCTATGTGTTTTCAACTTATTAAAACGTCACTAATTATAGTCACATGTAGACATAGGATAAGATCAATTTGACCCAACAATTGGAATTAGTAAACTAAACAACTTGATTAGGAAAAGTAGTTAACTTCTCCAAGAGAAATTAATTAATTAATTAAATGATTGTATTTTAAAATAGAAATTTGTTTTCCCCCAACAAAATAGGAAAAATGTTAAATAATTAATTTACTTGACCGACCATTGGGTATCGAAGCTAAATGACAAATTGACAACTGTTTTCCAGCAATGTAGCAACTTAATTAAAAAAAGGGGAATTTAATGGAAAAATAAAAGAAATGTTGTAAAATTATATTAAAATAGTAGAAATATTGAAAGGTCAAGAAACTAAATTTCTCCTATTATACAAGAGAGAGTTTGAGACTGAAGCAGACACTTTCACGTATCTGCTTTAACAAGAGTATTTTTTAAAAAAAAATTACATTTTTTATCAAAATTATGGAACCCATTTAATATACACCCTTTAGTTTTAAATTTTATTACTATAATAAATAAATAAATAAACAATAATCTTCAAGTGTATCACATAGCATGACTGTATTAATACAATTACATAGAGGGTACATTACAAAAAATTTTTTATCTTAAATATAACATAAACCATTGAGATTATCAAGAAAGCTATGAAGGTCAGGTGGACAAGTTTGAATATGAGTTCAATTGAATTAGCATTATATTAAAAATAATTTTTAATCGTAACTAATTCATAATAATAGCTTAATTGTTATTTTTTAAAGAGCAATTAACACTTTTTATAAATGTCCATAAAGCTTATAGCGACATTAAATATAATAACAATTAATTAATACCGGTAAGGCTTTAGCACATCTTTCTTAATGTGCATATTTATTAGAGCTAAATATAACATATTTATGTTTTAAAAAATTAAATATCTATAAATATGAAATTTAAATCTCAATTATTATTACATACGTCATCTTTGTGTTTGTTCTTTTACTTCCTTTGACTACTATTACGTAACTATTAGGGCATTGACAATATGTATAGGAAAAAAAATTATACGTGGTATTATATTTATTAGAGATTCTAACCAATTATAGAATTTAATATTTTGATTCCTTGCTAATAATAGTCTACATGTAGGTCATAGTAGAATTTTAAATAAGTGGCTATAAATTAATGAAACATAACGTGATTCATCATAGATATAAATATCAAATTTGAAGTTGATTTAGATCAATTTGATCTGTGAAATTTTTTTAAAACACTTAATAATCTGTCAAAATTTGTGGACAATTTAATTCATATTTACGAAATAATTTATACGAAAATCCTAATAATCAAGCAGAATTTGTGGCAAGTTCATTCATAAAAATTACTACTAATTATCATTCATGAGTGGAGACAAAGGCAAGTCTTAGACGATCTGTCAAAAATTGAACTCTCACCTATGATTTCAAAATTATTTTAACACGACTTATGTAAACGGAATCAATAATTAAATAGTGAAAAATAACTTATTTATGGAGGTATTAGGTACGATATAATTGTGGTATTATATAATTATGGTATGAATATTACAACCTAATTTGAAGAAGGATTCACATGACAACATATATGAACGTGACCAACAGTCATAAACTCATAATTAAGATCAAATTAAATGTATAAAAATAATCATATTCTAATCAATTTAATTAATTAGGTGTGATTATGCCAACCAATTACACAGAGAATTAATATTATGTCTTTATCTAAGTGCCGTATCCCAGATTTTTTGGGATAATTATGAGTATCATTCAATTAACAATAC